CCCTTTGTCTGATCGAATTATATTAGGTAAATCTGCCTGAAGAAATATCTTTTTCAAAGCTCTGATGACATTATCAGGGGTTTTACTTATCAATGGTTCAACCCACAAATACCGAGTATTTACAGACCGCCGTCATATAGCTTGAATATTGCTGAGACCGGCGTTAAACAACAAACATACACACATATATGCACGCACGCACGCACGCACGCACGCACGCACGCACGCAAGCACGCACGCACGAACACACATACATACATACATACATTCATACATACATAATGGTTTGGTTTGTAATGGTTTGTATTCCACACATCATAAATGCAAAGATATATGAAATTCGAACATATTAATACTTAATTAAAAAGAAAACTCCCGAAAAAACGCATTATTGACAAATGGAACTTCAACTCAAATAGTAATATTTACAAGTAGTACACAATTGATAATAGTGTGGTTGATGTGAATAGTCCCACATGGTAACAGAGTAATGATACAGACTGATTCACACACATACACTTTTGTTTAAACTACAGGTAAAATTCAAATAAAATGCTGAAAGATTTCAAAACTGTCCTCACATAAAAAAGAACAAAGAACTGGTATATTCTTTATACATATTTTTATAACATAAACACATATATACAATACATATAACAATATGATATGTAGAGTCACATAATTACAGAAGAGTGTTTTAATGTACAAGAGTTTAATTATTATTAAATACCCTCATCATCATTATAATTATCTTGTTCATCATCAGATTGGTTGATCAGTTCTAAATCTTCAGCCAGTGATAAGTCCACATGAGAGAGATATCTTTGACCACTTGTTTCATCCACTGAGTGATTTTATGATTCATTTCATTGCGATCCATGTCAGGATCTAATTGTTTCATTTTCTCTAGAACAGGTTTGAAATGTGGTCCATTTCCAAAGTAGCCAATATATCTGATGGCTCTCACAAGTCTCTCAAGGAAATTAATTTTCCAACATTTCTTTAATTTCTTTTCAACCCATCTCTCAGTCTTTCTTTCATCTTCTTTCTGTTCTTCTTTTCCAAGATCTCTTCCTTGCAAGTTTTTAGTGTTTGTTCCTACATGTGTTCTAGTCCTTTGATTTCCCTCTCTTTATCAGCTTCGTTAGGTTTATTTGCATCAACTAGGTCAAGAATATTATGGTTTGCATATTCTGTGTTATCCACTTTAGCTCGTTTCTTCAAGGGTTGTCCTTCATTCTCTGGGCACCAGGTTCTTACATGACGTTGAAGGTCATGATTGTTTTCAAACATAATACCACACTCGTCACAGGAAGGCATGGTCTCGTCTTCTGACTCCACAGTGTTCTCAGCTAGTTCGGAGATATTCTCCCTTTGAGTATCTGGTGTGAAAACGTACGGAGACAAATTTTGTAATAACAAGAAGATAATAACATTCATGTGATGAGAGGTTCGTGTGAACAGCTATGAGATGCGTTTATCATTCTTTGCCTCAACCATTAGGTCATCCAAAACAATCATATTGTTGTTTCTAGCATCCAAGAAGTCCTCATCGGTCATATTGTATGGTATTCCCTGTACAAACTTCACTTGAGGTAACTGTTCACTGATCAGTTGATAGAGGGGTTGCCATTGAGTATAACACCAGATAATGTGATCAGGTCTAGGTTGAATTAATCCTTGCAGTAATAGGTTATACAGAAAATAACTTTTGCCACTCCCACTTAGACCAACTATCACTACATTAGAAGGGATTGTCAACTTGAAGGCTTCAGCTGGTAAATGCGGCGGTGGCGGAGGTGTTACTGGTCTAACAGGTGATGTTTTTGATGGTAAGCCATGGACATGCTTTTAATGACGCAGTAAGACATCTCTTCTAGAAAATATCTTTCCACATTCTAAACAAGATGTTCACTCTATGATAGCCTATATACAACTAACACTGTTAGTAGTATTAGTGGATTTTACGACCGCTTCAGCCGTCGGCTATTTCGCAGTCACTGTTATGATGCAAAGCTAATTTATATAGCCCCTGAATTCTATCTGTTGAAGACGTTCAAAATGTTTACACCATCATTGCAGACGAGAGGCATTTTTTCTTTGTCGTTTCAAAGCTGCTTTAACTCAATTGATCAAAGCTTGTGTTTCAGACACATACTTAACTTTCAGTTGAGATGGGTTCAGCTTATTAGAATCTTTGTTGTGTTTATTTCTTCTGTTTGCTTTGTACAAGACATAATGGGACCAGCCTGCTCTCAAGCTATTTGACTGGGCAAGGGTCTAGCTCAAAATGAGACAACCGATACTGTTTGTTCTTTATATAGCTTGCAGGTCGGCCTCGGAGATCCAACTGTTAAACTTGGGAGGATACCCCATCCATTTGACCAGTACCTCCTTTCCACCAGTTCTCTTTCTTTTTTTCAACACTTTCTCTACCCGCCATATGGTGTCTGCAGGCTTGTCCCCTTTTTGTAACTCATTCCCATATTAAGTTCTTTACACAGGATCATCTGTCATATCTTTCACTGGATACACAGGTATACCACCTCTGTAATAACGTCTGTAAACAATAAAGATTTCCTCTGTCCATTGATAATCCCTTTGAAATACATGTTTCAAATTGGACAGTCTCAATTGTTCATCTAGTTTGAACTGACGCGCATTCTCATTGGCTTGCACCGTTTCGTGGCCTTCGAGAGGGCGACGAGCCTTGTTGAGCACTGTTGTAGGCTAGGGAAACATATCAGTGGTGAGGAATGAGAAATCCAGGTCTCTAGAAACAACCGACCAGGGCAGTACAGTTATGTTATGTCGCCTCAAAGAAAATGTGTTTCAGCAACGTTCAGGGCATGCATATCCTGTTGCAACGTGACGTTACGTCCCACCACAAGGACAACGGGTAGAACATGATCTCGAACGATGTCGTCCCGGCAGTGTACTCTAGTCAAATTGCAATTAAGAATGATAAGTTGTGTTCTCCCATGAGTTGTGATGCCACCCGATACCATAACACTTCCACCCCCAAACTGACGACGTTGTGTAACTCAAACGTTGCTAAAGCGTTCTCCTGGACGCCTGTAGATCATTTCGCGACTATAAGAGCTGTCCAGATGAAATCTGTACTCATCATTAAACAGTATACTGTCCCAGTTTTGTATTCTGAACCTAAGATGATGTCTACACCAGGCTAGATGAAAGCCTATTAGGCATATCATTGGTCGTCGAGGCTGAATGTTGTACCCCCTTAGCCGGTTGCATACGATTCTGCCACTTATTTTCTCAATTCAGGAATTGTCCGAGCTGTTAATGTGGCAGTTTGGTATCGATAGCATAGATCCTAATATGAATCACATAATATGATGATAGAATATGGTTGTCTTGTTGACGTGACGTCACACGTGGCACGTCATTAATGTTGCCCTAGTATTTGGATAGCGTCTCCAAAGAGATTTATGTGTTTTGATGAACATTAAAATGTCTGGCAAATTCCCATTGCTGTTTCCAGCATACCAACGGCGCGAAGACGTAAATTTTAAGCTAGCCGTGGCTATGCATGAGCGCTATTTACGGCTAAACAAACGTGTTTTATGAGCACCTGATAGCGAAACAATCATTGTGTGTTGTTCACATTAAACAACACGTGTGTGAGTATCATGCTCCAAACAAACACGCAGATATCCAAATTGTGCGCCGTGTAGGACATGCACAGTAAGTTGTGAATCACGACCTTAAAGTAAAGCTGATGTCTTTATTTTCATCATAAATTTATTTTTATTGAATTATATATGAAGCACAGGCTAAAAGCCTATGTGATACAAAAACATTGTGATAACTGTAACCTTTTTCGACAGGATTTAAAACTATTTTGGACATTATATATATTGTGGCTGTCATCGTTTCTGTAGTTTGTAATATAAGTGTGACAAGGTTCCAGATTGTTGGACCTTCCCCATGTATTTTATTGTTTATGTATTAAGACGAAGATCCGGGTTAGAATAGGTCTTCTTCTTGCTCAGAAGTTGTTCGATAAAAGTTACAAGAATTCAAGGCCTCGGTAAAGCTTTCAAAACGTTTTGAGGACATTTCCAAATTAGGAATTTCCGATACAAGTCACTATATTTCTTTTGACTTGTTCCGTGTGTGCCCGTGTTTTTTTCAGTGGTACAGTTGACTTGCCTTTGCTTAAGTTTGTGACGGGAGCCAACAGTTTCGCGAACACCTGGTATTTGAAGATCCGGATTAGAACAGGTCTTCAGTAACCAATGCTTGCCGTAAAAGGCGACTATGGTTGTCGTTAGTGAGTGAGTGATTGAGTTGGGTTTAACACCGCTTTTCACAGTATTCCAGTTATATCGCGGCGTGTCAGCTTAATGTGGGAGGAAAGCCCGCAGTGATGCAGGTCTCAGACGTTTACCACTTCGGTGAAATCCACGAGCAAGGGTATGGTGCTGACAAACCTAGAAACATAATCGGGGCGAACCGGGATTCGAACCCACAATCATAGGTTTCTGGCGTGCCCAAGGGACGTAGCTCTGCAACACAAATCGCGACGCCTTAGACTTCTGGGCCACCCGTGCCCCCGGTTGTCGTAAGAGTGGGTGGTCAGACTTGCTGACTTGGTTGTTGCATGTCATCGTATCCCAATTGTGTGGATCAATGCTCATGATGCCAATCACTGGATTGTCTGGTCCAGACTCGATTATTTACAGACCGCCTTCATATAGCTGGAATATTGCTGAGTGCGGCGTTAAACAACAAACAAACCAAACCAAACCAAATAGGTTAATTTCCGGCGGATTTTTAGGTACATTTTCGTTACAATGGGCCTTTATTGCATATAAAACATCTTCTTGTAGTACAAATGCTGCAACAAATATTACACGGGGAAACAATAAGATGATTTTGTATATTCAGAAACAGAAAAAAAATCGCCTGGGAATCACTTCTTATATGTCTTACCCGTTATCGACACTGATTGTTACCAATATTTTTCATTGCAGCTTATTTGGCAAAACTACTCGATAAAGCTATAGAACACTGTCCAGGAGAGAATTTGGAAGCAGCCGATGTTTTGTACCGCAATCAACCTAGACGCTTTTTCGACCACCTTGTAAATGACACCATGAGGCCTTACACAAAGGACGGAGGAGGGGATCCACGCAATCCTATGAATGGGAACCTTGACGGTATATTCTTTGGGGTGACCTTGTATAACAGTGATCTACCAAATGTGTCACCATTTGGAGACACCAGAGTGAAGGTTCCCCTGGGGCAAGTCTTTGATGAGGCAGCCAGGCTGTACTTCGGGGATTTCTACTGTGTGACTGTGAAAAGGCCAACTCACTACGTCATATTGGTCCTGACAAAGCCTGATACAGAAGCGGATGTCTTCTGTCAGCAACACCTCATTCGCTTGAATGAAAGAGATAACACGTTTCTGAAGAAGGAAGGAGAGACCTACGAAACGCTCAACCAGAAGGATATGTGGGTTGAAGTATTCTATACGAGTGAAGTGAACATATCAGGGTTCGAACTGGAAAATACCGAGTTGGCTGCGAGGAAAGGTATCACAGGAGGCATACCCAAACCACCTGGCTGTAACATATGCAATGTTCCCATACACGAGGGACAATGACCTTGCCACACGTTACGTAAAACCCGACGGACATGGTCAGTCAGGAAGACAGCCTGGAGACAGCCAGAAGATCGACTCGTGTAAGACCCTACAATCTTCAATACCTTTTTGAGAATGTAAGCACTGAAGTTATTTGTACAATTTGTGAAAACTGTATCTGGTATTCCGACTGCAAGGGCGACCGCGAGCAGGATGTGCCGCTCGGTGGAATCTTGTCCAAGGTTCTTTGTGTATGAGCCGGAATCTCCGCTCACCTGTATTTTGTGTGTACGAGCCGGCACCTCCGCTCAACTTGTTAATGTTATGTATAGTATGTATCTTGATTATTTAAAAGTTCTATTGATATGTTATTAATGTTATACGTGGAACCATGAATTATGATTCGTCTGTGATTGCTAATGTTTTATTCAAGTCATTTACTGTATCATCGAACTTGTACCTGAAATATTGTTTGAATTGTCTCTCTATATTTGTATTTTGACATTGCCACAAATAAAGACTCCAAGGGACACAGCCTTCTCTCTGTTTTAAGGTGAAAGAGAGTGAGTGTGCTGGGCTTATATCACGGCTTGTCAGCTTGATGTGGGAGGAAAGCTGATAGCCGAGTAATCATCCCACAAGTTAATTCGCCTTCTTTCTTGGTCATTGTGACGTGGCAAACGGGACCACGCCCAAGCGGTCCCAAGCCAATATACGAAAGTTCCATGAAGAATGTAATCCGCATGATATGTTTGTAGAGGAAGTGTGACTTAAATAGACAACAGTCAAGTCACTGCAGTCCTGTCTGTCATCACAATAAGGGTAACATGTTACACATGAGTGAGTGAGTTGGGTTTTTAACGCCGCTTTTAACAGTATTTCAGTTATATCACGGCATGTCAGCTTCATGTTGGAGGAAAGCCTGAAGTGATGCAGGTCTCAGACGTTTACCACTTTGGTGAAAACCACGAGCACGGGTATGGTGCTGACAAACCTAGAAACATAATTGGGGCGAACCGGGATTCGAACCCACAATCATAGGTTTCTGGCGTGCCCAAGGGACGCAACTCTGCACAGACGACTGGTCACTCTTGCCCCCTGTAACACATGCAATTTCAAGCTCAGAAGCGTATAATACTTACTGAAAATACATTATATCTTATCGCGGTGGCTTTTCTAAATACACAATATCAAATAAAGCAAGAATATGATATATGTATGACGACTTTACACCCCGACATAATAATGCTTGCAATAATGAACTCATCTGCATAGCACAGCTTAATTCAAATAAAATGAACATTATTATTCTATACTTTTGTAATAGGCGCCCTCTGGCGGGCTGCCCAGTGACAGGATTGTAATCGGAGAGTACTAAGTTCGAACCCTGTTCATATAATTTCGGACTTTGCGTTGTGTTCTCCTGTGATCAGTCATGAACAGTGTACTCTCTCGAGGTTCTATGGTTGGTCAGGTTCTCAACTTTGCTAAAACAAAACTAAGACAAAATCATAAATTAAATGATTTATTAAACTTAAAAAAATGCACAAATTAACAGAAATCAGAAAAATACAAAAAGAAAGCACTCACACATAGGTAAACTTTTAGCCTAAATGTCTTTATTGTTAATTGCCTAATTTACTGCCTATTTTCTCCTACACCTACTTCTCCCCCACACCACTATTCCAATAACTATACTAAATAAATACCTTACAAAACCTACATTTTAACTTATTTCTTACTCTCCAATCTATCTAAATCCTTATTTCTACATGTTTTTCCTGCAACTTCTTCTCCCCCACCCGACTATCACATAAACTAATCCTACACCTAAAACTAGTCGTAAGGAAAACCTTATTGCCTAGAGGGATGTTCCCCCGTAGTGGGTGTTGTGGACTTACTTGTCGGGATACCCGAAACTTCAGACAACTAATCTCGGTCGTATCAGGCTTTTATACCCACGGAGCTAACCATATTCATAGGTCACGGGTCATACAATCTTCTAAGCTTCTCATTGGTCAAATGATAATTCCTAACATAGCGTGCTCGGCGCCACCTATAGAACCGGAAACACGCTACGGCAGGAAGACATGCGGACCTCGCAACCGTCACAGGGAATTCCAATGGAATTTTACTGCCAAACGTGAGTAATAAATAGATTAACTGACTACAAGATAACGACTTCCACCAGCCCTGCTGAAGCACTACAAAGCCCTATAACTTACAACCCGTACCGTACATGAAACTTAAACTTGCCGCCATACTACCCGATAAATTACGATCTATTTTTAGCCCAACTACCACACTTTATATGTCTTACTGAGAAAGACCTACCTGAAGGGTGGGAAAAGACGTAACATTGCCTTGAAGTTTGAGTGAGTGAGTGAGTGAGTGAGTATGGTTGTCCGCCGCTTTTAGCAATATTCCAGCAATATCACGGCGGGGGACACCAGAAATGGACTTCACAAATTGTACCCATGTCGTGAATCGAACCCGGGTCTTCGGCGTGACGAGCGAACGCTTAAACCACTAGGCTACCCGACCGCCCCTCGAAGTTAGAAGAACGTTCAGACCAATTTGAGATTAACACCTGTTTGACATTTTAGTGCAAACCTTAGAGAATCCGACAAGTTAGAAGATTTGGATGACTGCACGTTATACTCACAATTAAATAAGAAATTAACATAATCCATGGTAATACAATCTCAGAGGTGGAGTGAGTGAGTGAGTTAAAATTGTAGGTCCATCGGCAATATTTCAGCCATATCTAGACGAGAACTAATAAATTGATAATAAATATATTTATATTGAATAAAAACCTCTCATCGATGGACAGCATTATAACTAGACCATCACAGTTTCGATTTAAAACTGTTTTAAGAACATTTAAAAGAAGAATTAATTAATCAACAACACAATATAAGAATTGGCTATTGATCGCCGTCAACCAAAATTAGGCCACCATACTAGGGACATATGGGACTTACGGTACTGAAATCTACCTGTACGGTTCCCCAACAGGATTTACATCCCTTCAGCTGCATGCGTTTGTCCGTAAGTTCAGCCATCAATGTAAAACAACAAATATACTACTTTTAAAATTCTGGGATGCCTAGAATACTTTGAATGACGTGGAACTGTTTAGGGGGATGATAATTTTACGCTACTTCAACCCCCCTCGAGGGTAAAGCCACAACCAATTTACCAATAACAACACACTTTGTACATCCAAATTTTTGAACTAATTCTATTTCTTTAAAAAAATACAATATTAAATGAAAATTAACATGACTAAAAAGGTTTTTGACTGTTTTCACTCTGAAATATTTATCCCTTGTGATGAAAAAATCAATATAGTCAAGCAGGATATGCTCGACAGTGATTCTTTCATACAGGGGATACAAAACAAATGTGTATATCGCGAATAGGCAATACGACATCATCTTAGGATGACCTCTTCAAATCGGGACTGACAACCCAAGTGGGTGTAACCTATAGCTTATTTTCATGTAATGTATTTTACCTATATTCGATTTTTTTTTATCTTACATTTAATTACAAGTTTATGATTTCTATTGACAATGGAAGGGGTTTATAATCACTGTATGGGATAAGAAGTTGTGTTACAGATTTGCTGAGTGCTTTCCAATTTTGGCAGCAGCAGAATCGGCCACTGTGTTACCACTGATTCCAGCGTGGCTGGGTAACCAACAAAGGACGATGTCATATTGAAAGAAAATCTGAAAATATATAGAACTGTTCATGTTTAGACTGGTTATTGATATATTTTTCAGCTCTTAAAATGACATTTACTTCTGCAGTGAATATGGAGCTTTTATCTGGTAGTCTTGAGGACATTGTTCTGGATCATCATCCTTGGATCCATCTGTAAATATAGATTTTTAAGTGCTATATGTGTTTCTTGATTGTGATTGTTTGTAAATTAATTGTTCTTGTTTGTAAATTAATTTGGTTAGTATCTGATTTCTTTAGTTTTGTTAATGTAAGGAGGTGATGACAAATGTTAGGTGGGAGCTATATCATGAAGTTATTATCAGCAAAAATGGCAGATTTGATTCTTATTCCAAGTGGTGGAATAAAAGATGATGTTTTATTGTAAATATCTTCATAAAGAGGATTCGGGGGCACGGGTGGCCCAGTCGTCTAAGGCGCCGCGATAAGCTGTGCAGAGTTGCGTCCCTTGGGCACACCAGAAACCTATGATTGTAGGTTCGAATCTCGGTTCGCCCTGATTATGTTTCTAGGTTTGTCAGCACCATACCCGTTCTCGTGGGTTTCACCGAAGTGGTAAACGCCTGAGACCTGCATCACTAAGGGGGCTTTCCTCCCACATTAAGCTGAAACGTCAAATATATGTTAACTTGTCTCAAGACATTATACAGGCACGTGCTTAAGTAACTTCACCATTATTAGAATCAAAATTAACTTTCTTTTCTCAACTTACTTTTCCTATTGTTTCTGATTTCTCTGAAACTCAGTGACATAATTTGATGATGAAGAAAGTTTGGCTAGTTTCACCAAGTTTATTTGCAATGTCAGATTTATCAGTTTTTAATTTATCACCGTCTTTAAGATAATGGTAAGACGATTTGGGTTTTCAGCACATAATATTTGATAAAGGGACCAGTTGGTCATCATCACGTTTTACAGCTTTTAGGACAGTACAGGGAAGAGATCACTTCCACAATGTCGTCATGTACAGACCATTCAAATTCATTGTAAACATCTGGAACTGTGAGCGACAGATCAAGTGCAGAATAAGTTCCAGTAGCAGGATGTGCATAGGTGTTTCAATCATCGTTGAACACATAAATTATTATCAGAAACAAAATCTTCAATGATTTGCCCTTATGGTTGGTACTTGCACTTCCCCATAGAGTGTTATCTCCATTTATATCGCCCATGATGATACAGGGCTTAGGGAGCTGATCATATAACTTCTGAAGATCAGACTGTCGAAGAGCAGATGAAGGTGGGATATACAGAGAACACAAAGTAAATGCGAATAGCAACAGCCTGATGAGCAGTATTTAAATGAACATCACTATGAATGACGTCCTGCCTGACTAAAATAGTAGAGTCTCCAGTCCCGTTATATCACGGAGGAGAAAATGAATGCTGACAATTGTACTGCCTTAAGTCAACAGTGTCTCTATGTTTATGATTCCATAAATCTTGTATTAATAAGCGTAACTTTTTAATATGTATCCTGAGACCTCTGCAGTTTCACTGAATTAAAGGATTTGATTTCCTCATTGTGGTGGAGTAACGAGAGATAGACTTTTTGGAAGAGTGGCCACTTGTATGACCATTAGTGCTCATGTGAGGGGATACCTCCTTATCTAGATTCTTGAGCAACCCATACTTGTTGTACAGTTGCACAGGATCTTTGAGTGCCTTTGGTTCTGTTTATTGTCAACGTTATAGGATGATATAGCTTTTGGGGTTGCTTCTGTGTTCCGTTGATGTGGATGCTACTGCGGTTGGTTTTGGATCTGCAACTTGGATT